AACCCACCCCCAAGTAAACCAATAAAAAACAAAAAGCCAAAGCGTGGGACGACCAGCGCACACACTCTCATTGCTCCCGTAAAGCAAAACACACACACACAGGGAGAGAGAGAGAGAGAGGTCGCCCACTCAAGGCAATGGAAACAAAACAAAACAGTTACGGTGCTCCACCCATGCAGCCAGGCAGGACGGCAGCGGTGCGTGTGGTGCAAAAGAGAGCACCAACGGGCCTGCATGGGTGTGCATGCATATATACAATGGGCACATTATGTGTGTGCTTCGTGGGGTGAGGTGAGGGCGAGAGTCCATGCAAGGGGACACACACAGAGAGAGAGAGAAAGACGAGTGTGTGTGCGGGCGGTGCACGGCTCTCTCTCCCTCACTCTCACGCGGCCACCACCGCAGCAGCAGCCGCACACGCAACAACAAGAAAAAGCAAAAGAGGGGAGGTGGTGTGGGAGACCGCGGTGCTGCCGTCACTGTTGGCAATCTTTGTCGTCGTATCATTTGTGTTGGCGGTGCCTGTTGATTGGGGTGCCGCATCACTCATTTTGACGGTGTTGCTCTCACCAACGTCAGTCGGCCTCATGGAACTTGTTTGAGTGGTAATGGCCGGTGCGGCTGTGGAAGTTTCCCGAGGTTGTTCCAAGGAAGGAGTGACATTTTCACGTTCCTGCCCCTCTTCTGACGGTACGGCAACAATAATTTCAGTACTCCTCGGAGTATCTTCTGTGCGCTCCTCACTATTACTGCTGACAACATCGTCGTTACCTGAATGAGATGGTGGATCAATACTCTGTTGATTTCCATTTGATACATCCTTATTTTCCTCCTGATTGAGTGAAGTCTCCGGTTCCCCTGGTGGACCTTCGTGTTGTACATCTTGCCGCTTTCCGCCCGATGATTGTGAATTTGTCAGTGAATCCGTAGGCTCGGAGCTGGATGGTGTCTGCTGTGTTGTTGATACAGGCTGCAAAGGAGCTTCCAATGACACTTTCCTTGATGCGGAACCCTCAACGTTGTTCAGCTGTGTTTGCTCTGCGGAATGTTTTCCCGCTCCACCGGGCACCGTATGATCGGCAGGATTGTGGGTAACTCCAGCACCACTCGCAGGA